CAGGGATCCAGATTGAGAAAGATAGTTGCATGTGCTAATCTGCGCCTCTAAGTGTAAATTAGGAATTCATCGCTATTGAAGATGGGCGAGAAAGTGCTGCAGATGTTGATGGACCACTACAACACCCACCATCCTTCACCCTGGCATCAGACGCCGGAATTTGCTGGATACAATATCTAACCTTATGCAGTATGTCAAGAGGAGTCTGGAAGCACCTTTTCTGACTAACCAATTGCATTAAAATGCATAACTGACTCTGACTCTTCGTCTGCAAAAGGGCTAGTCACTGTTCAGGCGACGGTTTTGGGGCTCCCATGGAGTCACAGGTCTCGTCTCCCAACAATATGGAGAATCCCTTCTTCTGAGTAGAGTAGATGATCCCTTTCCTGCCTGCCTTCTCCCGTTTTAAGGGGTTTCATCTCTAAAATGGCATCTCTATTTGGTTGCTAACTGACTCTGCACTGAAGCTCCCTACTGTTTGTAGTCTCCCGAAGACAAGCTTTGGGAGAAGCAACCTGCCCTCAGGATTTCATTGGACAGCTTGCTATTCGTTTTGGAACTCTACTGCTGCAAAGCGTGGCTTTAAAGGAGTTAAAGCCACAAAGTACTGTATTGCTAGAAAGGCTGGGAAGCGAGGAGAAGGACAGAGGAACTTCCTCTACCGGATCACTCGTGGGAGGAGGGTGGCGTGCAGAGAGGCTCTCTGGCTCTTCCCAGGATCGAAGCATCAGCTGGCAGGTGAGTGGAGGGCAGGTCGGAGGAGAAGCCGGGAGCAAGTCGGGCTGTTTAGTTTCCCCCATAGCGAAGAAGTAGAGAAGCAACTAGAATATGCAATAACAGTTGGAAGAGATCTTTGAGGTCATCTGCTCGAGCACGAGACCTTATACCAGGGGTAGGCAACCTTGGCTCTTTTATGACTCGTGGACTTCAACTCCCAGAATTCCTGAGCCAGCTGTGCTGGCTCAGGAATTCTGGGAGTTGAAGTCCACGAGTCATAAAAGAGCCAAGGTTGCCTACCCCTGCCTTATACATTTCAGGCAAATGGCTGTCCAGTCTCTTCTTGAAAGCCTCCAGTGATGGAGCACCCACAACTTCCGAAGGCAAAAACTATTTTTTCCCCGCTGGTTAATTGTTCTCACTGTCAGGAAATTTCTCCTTGTTTCTAGGTTGCTCCTGTCCTTCATTAGTTTCCATCCATTGTTTCTTGTTCTGCCTTCAGGTGCCTTGGAGAATAGGCTGACCCCCTTCTTCTTTGTGGCAGCCCCTCAAATATTGGAACACTCTTTTCATGTCACCCCCTCGTCCTTCTATTCTGTGGACTAGACCTACCCAATTCCTGCAACCATCTTTGTATGTTTTAGCCTGAAGCCCCCAAATATGCTTGTTGCTCTTTAATTTCTTCTCTCTTAGTCCGCATTAAGTCCAGTATAGGAACGAATTAATAAATACAAGATAGATACAAGGCAAGTGAGGTTACAGTATGTAGTGTGTGTTATAAACCTCACAATTACCAAGAAATGATGTCCTTACCGAAAACAGAACGAGAAAAATGGAAGGAAACAATGGACAGGAATCTATGGATGTGCATCAAGTGTTCTCGCCCATGAGATTACCAGAAGGAAAAAAGGCTGTGGGATGTAAGTGGGTATATAAAAAGAAGGTGTTACAAAATAATGAACTGCAATACAAGGCAAGACTAGTAGCACAGGGATTCACACAAAGAAAAAATGTTCATTATGATGAGGTATTTGCACCAACAGTTAAGAGTGAAACAATAAGGCTAGCATTAGGTTTAGCTGCTGCACGTGATTATGTCATATACGATTATGATAACTCCACTTCATATTTAAACGCTGAATTGGAAGAAGAGATATATATGACACAAGCTCCAGGTTATGAAATGAAGCAAATTGGATACGTATACAAATTGAAGAAAGCCATCTATGGGTTAAACAGTCAGCTAGTAACTGGAATCAATGCTTAGATGCTGCTCTAAAGAAATTAGGATTTAAAAGCAGTAAAGCAGATCCCTGTTTATACACTGCGCTATATAAGGGCGCAGGATGCTTGCTGTTGGCCTATGTAGATAATATATGTTTAGTTACAAAACATCATTCACAGACAACTGGAAAAGACATTTAAATTAAAAAGCCTAAGAGAAATAAAGTATTACCTGGGTGCAGAGATACAAAAACTAAAAAAAATGGAGGATTTATAATAAGCCAAACAAAAAAAGATAAAACAGCTATTGGAGAAGCATGACATACTTGAATGTAACAATGTATCTACTCCTATGGTTTTAGGCTTCCAGAATAATGAGGAGATGAAAAACGACACAGAGTATGATAAAGAGAAATATCAATCAGTGATCTGTAGTTTATTATATTTATCCCAGTGGACACGGCCTGATATAACCAATGCAGTTAGCATATTGAGTAGACACACATCAGCACCAAAACAACAACACTTGGTAGGGATAAAAAGGGTATTACGATATTTAAAAGGAACAATGGACCTAGGGCTATGGATAAGACCATCCAGTAATCTATCTATACAATACTATGTAGACCGTGACTGAGCAAATGATATAAATGATAGAAAATCAAACACAGGTTGTGTAATATTGTTTGCTGGCAATGTAATTGGATGGAAATCTAGAAAACAATCCTCAGTGGCACTTTCAACTGCAGAGGCTGAATTTATAGCATTGTTCAGCGTTAACTTGGTATGTACAACTATTAAAAGATGTAAATATTGACCAAAAAAAGGGCTATACCAGTATGGGACGATAACATTGCATGTATAACAATGGCAACAGGAGGACACGTTGGAAGTAGGAGTAAACATATAGATATCAAATACTGCAATGTAAGAGAGGCAGTAAAGAATAAACTAATAGAGTTAAAGCATTGCACCTCTGAAAATAATTTGGCTGATACATTAACAAAAGTTTTGAGTTCAGACAAGCATCAAAATTGGGTAATCTGACTGGATGGTGGGGAATGGAAGGATTTATACTCCTTGCAGGCAGCTGTTCATTTGCATTTTTTAGTGAGTTGTTAAAGCTACCTGGAGGCTCATCTGTGTCTTCAGAGTCACCTGAGTAGTGCAAATGTGTGTGGAGCCTTCTTGGAACTGTTGAAAGGACTGAATTGTAGACTGGAGATAGATGATGTCAGATCCCTCCCCCTCTGTTGAAAGAGGGCTGTTCAGTTTTGACATAGATGGCCTCTTTGACCCCTCTTTCAAACCCCTCTTTCAAATCTTGTTTTATCTTTATATTCTCTTTAGGAGTCTTCTCTATTAAGATGTGTATCCTACTCCAATATTTCTTTCCTTTATTACATGTCCACCATAAATGTTAAAAAGCTCTTCTTTGTATTTCCAAACTTCACTGCTATTATATCATTCCCTAAGCATATCATATCATAAATAGTCATGCCATCAAAATCTTAATTCATGGCCCTCTAGCTCAACTAACCTCTTATTTTGAAGAATCACCCACTCTTTTTCCAAACAAAAAAAAAGCAGAAAATTCTTAACAATTACAGCCATCAACCAATGGAATAGCTTGCCTTCAGAGGTTTTGGATACTCCATCACTAGAGGCTTTCAAAACGAGATTTGACGGCCACTTGTCTGAAATGGTATAGCAGGGGTCTTCAAACTTGGCCCTTTTATGACTTGTGGACTTCAACTCCCAGAATTCCTCAGCCAGGCACGCTGGCTGAGGAATTCTGGGAGTTGAAGTCCACGAGTCATAAAAGGGCCAAGGTTGAAGACCCCTGTGGTATAGTGTCTCCTGCTTGAGCAGAGGGTTGGACCAGAAGACCTTCAAGGTCCCTTCCAACTCTATTATTCTATGTTATATGTTGTATTGATCTTCATTACAGAGATTCTATCAAATAATTGCCGTACTAAGAATTTGTGATTGACTCAAGTCAACAAGATAATTTCATGGTTGAATGCAAATGTGAACTTGGATTTTGGCAATTCTCAGTGTGTCAAATGAATCATAATTAATATAAGATGTTATTTTAGCATTGTGGCATGTTTGCTTTTTATCTTTAATTGTATGTGTTTTTCTTTTTCATTTTTCACATCTTCAACAACTATTTTATAAACAATAAGTTACAATTTTCTTTGAATCTTATAGACAAAGAGGATGCCAATAAGAGCGCTCCAGACAACTGAGAATAACAAGCAACGTTAAAAAGGAAAGCAAATCAAGCCTGAAATGAAAATATTTTCCATTTCCTTAAAAAAAAAACCCACATAATTCTTCTCCTTCCCCAGGACGTGATCAAGAAGAGATTTCAAACTGGAAAAAGTAGAGTATGCAGAACTCAAGGAAACATTACAGGTAGTCCTTGACTTGGAACACTTCATATAGTGACCGTTTGAAGTTACAACGGCACTGAAAAAAGTGACATGACTCATTTTTGAAGCTTATAACTATTGCAGAGTCCCCATGGTCATGTGATTTATATTTGGATGCTTGGCAGCTAACTCACATTTATGACGGTTGCAGTGTTCTGGGGTCATGTGATCCCCTTTTGCAATCTTCTGACAAGCAAAGTCAATAGGGAAGCCAGATTCACTTAACAACCTAATTTAACAATCGCAGTGATTCAGTTAACAAATTGACAAGAAAAACTGTAAAATGGGGCAAAGCTCACTTAACAAGTGCCTCACTTAGCAACATAAATTTGGGGCACAGTTGTGGTTGTAAGTCGAGGACTACCTGTAATGTATAGGAAAAGGTCAAAGGAGATTATTTTTTCCGTTCACAAAAAGAGAGAAATATCTGGAAGTCAGTGGGGAGCAAAAGGTCAATTGGATAGTCACACAGGGCAGACAGTGATACAGGCCTTGCCCTGGGAGGAAGAAAACACGTTGAATCAAAGGATGACGAAATAAGGGATCACACATATTTTTGACCTCAAGTGCTACCAAAGTAGAGAGTGTGGTAACTTGAAGATACATTAAAGAACTCACACCATGGAGAAACCCTTGGAAAGTTCTGATTTGGGGGAAAGTTTCAGTCAGAACTCCAGCCTCATGATACAACAGACACTGCACACAAAAAAGAAATCATATGAGTGTTGTGATTGTGGGAAATGTTTCACTGCAAATTCCCACCTTGTGATGCACCAGAGAACACATACAGGAGAGAAACCCTTTGAATGTCCTGATTGTGGGAAACGTTTCAATGAGAATTCTTACTTGGTGAAACACCAGAGGACTCACATAGGAAAGAAATCGTATGAGTGTCTGGTTTGTGGGAAAAATTTCAGTCACAATTCCAACCTGGTGAAACACCAGAGGACTCACACAGGAGAGAAATATCAATGTCCATATTGTGGGGAAAGTTTCATCACAAAATTCCAGCTCACGAGTCACCAGAGGACTCACACAGGAGACAAACCCTTTGAATGCTCTGAATGTGGGAAACGTTTTAGTTACAATTCACACCTGGTGATACACCAGAGGATTCACACAGGAGAAAAACCCTTTGAATGTCCTGATTGTGGAAAAACTTTCATTAAAAATTGCTACCTCATGATACACCAGAGGACTCACACCGGAGAGAAACCCTTTGAATGTCCTGATTGTGAAAAATGTTTCAGTCGAAGTTCCAGCCTGTTGATACACCAGAGGACTCACACAGGAGAGAAACCCTTTGAATGTCCTGATTGTGGGAAAAGTTTCAGTCGGAGCTCCAGCCTAGTTATTCATCAGAGGATTCACAAAGGAGAGAAACTCTTTGAATGTCCTGATTGTGGGAAAAGTTTCATTACGAAATTCCAGCTCATGATTCACCAGAGGACACACACAGGAGACAAACCATTTGAATGTCTTGACTGTGGAAAAAAATTCAGTCACAGTTCCAACCTGGTGATACACCGAAGGACTCACACAGGAGAGAAACCGTTTGAATGTGCTCTTTGTGGGAAACGTTTTAGTCAGAATTGCAGTCTGGTGAAACACCAGAGGACTCACACAGGAGAGAAATCATATGAGTGTCCGGTTTGCGGGAAACGTTTCAGTCACAATTCCAATCTTGTGGAACATCAGAGGACTCACACAGGAGAGAAATCATATCAGTGTCCATATTGTGGGGAAAGTTCCCTTACAAAATTCCAGCTCATGAGTCACCAGAAAACTCACACAAGAGAGAAACCCTTTGAATGTCCTGATTGTGGAAAAAGTTTCATGAAAAATTACCACCTCATGATACACCAGAGGACTCACACAGGAGAGAAACCTTTTAAATGTCCTGATTGTGGAAAAAGTTTCAGTGAGAATTCCAACCTGGTGATACACCGAAGGACTCACACAGGAGAGAAACCCTTTAAATGTCTTGTTTGTGGAAAAAGTTTCAGTCAGAATTCCCACCTGGTGATTCACCAGAGGACTCACACAGGAGAGAAACCCTTTAAATGTCCAGATTGTGGGAAATGTTTCAGTGAGAATTCTGTCCTGGTGATACACCGGAGGACTCACACAGGAGAGAGACCCTTTAAATGTCCTGTTTGTGGGAAATGTTTCAGTCAGAAATCCCACTTGGTGATTCACCAGAGAACTCACACAGGAGAAAAACCCTTTGAGTGTCCTGATTGTGGCAAAAGTTTCAGTCAGAATTCCAATATGGTGGTACACCAGAGGATTCACACAGGAGATAAAAAAGGTTTCTGATTGTGGGAACATTTCAATTCAAACCTGGTGAAACCCCAGAGGACTCAAATGGAGATCTTTCAAATGTCCAATCTGTGGACGGTACTTCAAGTGTAAATCACTCTTTATTGCATACAAAAAAATCCACATGAGGCAAAAGTTGATGAGTGTAGAGAAGGCTTGAATTTTGTTCCTGATCTCCCTTTGAGAGTGTAGGTGAGAAACTGACTCTTTGAATTCTGGCCTGATCCAATACATCTCAGATTTAGACCAGCAGGTGGAGAGAAAAAAGTGGAAACTTTTAGTTTCATACAAGCTAACTAACTGTTTCTGGTAATCAGCAGAAATTACTGAATATTTTCTTTTGCAGAAGTTGTGGGATTCCTCAAAAAAGCTCTTGGGTTTCGTTTTTTGTATATTGATTATGGAATTCCAACATGTGGAGTTTCTGTCTTCTATCTTGTTGTCCTCCAGATTATGAGCGCCGTAATTCCCTTGCCACCATATACGTAGTCCTCGAGATACAACTGTAATCGGGTCTGCCAGTTTTGGTTGCATGATGTAATGGTGGTTAAGTGAGATTATCTTACTGAACTACCCACACCCCTTTCTCTCTCTGATGAAAATGTCAAATGAATGTGCAAGTTGCTAAGCGCAACAGTGGCTACCTCAGAGTTTGGGGAAGCTCTTGGAGGCCTAGCGCAGGCCTAGATTTGCCTTTCAAAGGCCTCCCCTATTCTAACCTTTGGGTCCTCCTGGGACTTTCCCTCCCTCACAGGTCGCCATAGGCCTTTCCCTCCCCCATAGGTTCCCCACATAGTCCCCATAGGCATCTCCCTTCTCACAGGGTCCCTATTTCTACTGGATCCTTGCAATCCTTAGGCCTGACTCCCACCCTACCAGGCATCACAGCCTCTTCCTCCTCCATACCTTTTGAAGATCTCTGAACCTCAGTGGGAAACAGGGCAGGACACGGATCTCTTGGCTGCGTGACTGCATCGTGGAAGCAGCCATTACTTTGAACGGTACCCTGAGCAGCGGGTTGGACTAGAGGACCTCCAGGGTCCCTTCCAAGCCTATAATGCTATGTTTCCATGAATTCAGAGGCAGTTTAGAAAACAGATAAAGAGCAGCCCCATGAATTTGCTTCTCGTAAAGTGGCTTTTAATATGTATGTATGTATGTATGTATGTTTATATATTTTCGTAGATTTTCACGGGTACAGGTATGCAGGTCTTGGTGTATTCGGGTCTTTTCCCGTGTAAGATTGAGAGTATCTTGGCGACGTTTCGACGAGGTCCCACTCGTCATCTTCAGGCTGGAGTCTTCGGCTTCAGGCTGGAGTCTTCAGCTTCTGTGCGAAGACTCCAGCCTGAAGCCGAAGACTCCAGCCTGAAGATGACGAGTGGGACCTCGTCGAAACGTCGCCAAGATACTCTCAATCTTACACGGGAAAAGACCCGTATTTGGAAAATTAATTTAAATTACAAACTTGAAAAAAAATTAAAAAACAAAAAAGGATATACAGAACATTTAAATAGAAGGAAAAATGTGCATCAAAAGGACAAAAATAGATTTACATATATTATCCCCCCCACTTGAATATTCATAAATATAGTGGAGCAATATTAGTTTCCTTCCCTTATGAAGCAGGCCCAAAATTTATGAAGTTCTACCTCTATTTACAACCAATTTGACCTTCATCAATCTGGTATATAGAGAGGCAAAGTAGTTAACAGGTGAACCAACAGCAAAGTTAAAATGTCAAAGTCTAGAACAGCTTCTTATTTACAGTAAGTTACATAGTGCCTGCTCATTTCTGTATTTGTCAACTGTCCTAGTCTGCTAGCCAACGAGAGAAAGTCCCGGGTCTTTTTTTTTTTTTTCCCTCCAAGAGAATACTTTACTGGAAAGCCGTGTGAGTACAGAAGTGGAAAAGCAGTTCTAACATTTTGCATGTGAAAATCATAAGATAAATGCCTCCTTTCTCCCCTGGATCTCCCATTGTCCTTTGCACATCAATCAGTTGCACCTGGGTTATTTTGAGAAAGATCTGCCTGCCTCGGAGAAGTGGAGGCGCTTAGAGCTCCCAGGCTTGTCACTTGACCTAAAATTATTTTATCTTTCTAAATACATCACTAGAAGCATCGTGATCCCTTTGGCAAGTTGTGTGTAAAAACACTGGAGAGCTTTTTCAGTGTAGATCAGGAGTAGGCAACCTTGGCTCTTTTATGACTCGTGGACTTCAACTCCCAGAATTCCTGAGTCAGCTTGGCTGATACAGGAATTCTGGGAGTTGAAGTCCACGAGTTATAAAAGAGCCAAGGTTGCCTACCACTGGTGTAGATCAGGGGTTCTCAACCTTGGCAACTTTAAGACTTGTGGACTTCAACTCCCAGAATTCCTCAGCCAGCAAAGCTGGCTGAGGAATTCTGGGAGTTGAAGTCCACAAGTCTTAAAGTTGCCAAGGTTGAGAACCCCTGGTGTAGATTATACAGCCCATAAAAGGGCTGCAATTAAAATTGAAAACCTCCGCAGACAGGGCTGTTCACTGACATGGGCAGAGAGAAACAGGGACGCAGCAGTCACCCCAAAGGGAATCTGGGCACGTAAGAGGCAGATTCAGGTACTGCAGTTCCTCACCTGGACACCTCTCGGGTCTCCCTTACCCGCCTTCCAGGTGCCCCTGGCCTTCTCCTAGCAGGGTTCCCGCCCTCGGAGGGGATCCCCTCCTGAGCCCAGATCTCCCCTAGTCCTCGTCTTCCCCTCCAGACACTGGGAGACTGATCCTCCCCAGCAGCGACAGGGGAACGTGGGAACGGCGGTGCCCAACCTTCCGGGAAACACCAGCAAGCCCCACGCTGGGAGCCGGGCTGCACCAAGAGGTTGGGCTGCGGGGCAGGAGGGGAGATTGGGGGAAGGAATTGAAGGGGGTCGGAGAGCCGTTCGCGGAAGCAGCAACCGAGGAGGAAGAGAAGCGGCGGCTCAGCGGTTCCCACGGAGCAGAAAAGCTCGCAAGGAAAGGCGGAGACTGGGAAGGGGAGGGGGCGCAACTGGGGGAAACCCACCTCGCTCTCCCTCCCCCGAGGAATCCCTCCTCCCCTTCCCGCCCCTGGGGATTTCCCCCTCCTACTCCCCCCCCCTCCCGGTCCCCTCCCACTCTTGAAGCGGCGGCTCAGCGGTTCCCACGGTGCAGAAATGCTCGCAAGGAAAGGCGGAGACTCGGAAGGGGAGGGGGCGCAACTGGGGGAAACCCACCTCGCTCTCCCTCCCCCGAGGAATCCCTCCTCCCCTTCCCGCCCCTGGGGACTCCCCCTCCTACTCCTCCCCCCTCCTGGTCCCCTCCCACTCTTGCAGCGTCCTTGACTACCCGGCGCCCCTCCCCCGCGAGGGGAATCTCCGCAGCCCTGGCCTAAGAGAGGTCGAGAGACTAGGAAGGGGAGATGGAGGGGCAGGAAGCTGGATTCCCAGCCCCCTTTTCTCCTTTCCTGCCTCCTCTCTAGGCGTATTGCCGCCGAGCAATGGTAAAGTCCTCCAACCGAGAACAGCAAAGGACCGTCACCCTTCATGGAAGTCCCCAAGACCCAAAACAGGGATCCAGGTTAAAAAAGATGTGCTAATCTGCACCTCTAGATGCAATTAGGAATTCATCGCTATTGAAGGTGGGCGAGAAAGTGCTGCAGGTGTTAATGGACTACAACACCCACCATCCTTCACCCTGGCATTAGACGCCGGAATTTGCTGAATACAATATCTAACTTTATGCAGTATGTCAAGAGGAGTCCGGTAGCACCTTTTCTGACTAACAAATTGCATTAAAATGCATAACTGACTCTTAGTCTGCAAAAGGGCTAGTCACTATTCACGCGACGGTTTTGGGCTCCCATGGAGACAGAGTCTCTTCTCCCAACAATATGGAGAATCCCTTCTTCTGAGTAGAATAGATGATCCGTTTCCTGCCTTCCTTCTCCCGTTTTAAGGGTTTTCATCTCTAAAATGAAGCTGTACCCCCAAAAAAACAACTTGATTCCCCCTTTCCACCAATAGAGTTGCATCTTCCCCAAGAATAAAATGAAATTAGGCACAGGAGCCATCAGACACCCCAGCAACGCTCTACAATACAGCAAAATGCCAGCCTAAATGAGGGTATTTCCTCACTGCTGTCAGCAGTTGCACTCAGAGATTTCAAATGGAGAGGGATCCTGACAATCAAGGGAGGCCACAAGGGACAGGGTTTTTTTCCTGTTAAATTGGCAGCAACATGTTTTTATATGTTTAGTGCTGAGGGAGGTTTCAAGCAGCTGTTACACTCATTTTCATCTTTGTACCACTTGGCATCTCTATTTAGTTGCTAATTGACTCCGCACTGAAGCTCCCTACTGTTTGTAGTCTCACAACGACAAGCTTTGGGAGAAGCACCCTGTCCTCAGGATTTCATTTGACAGCTTGCTATTCATTTTGGAACTCTACTGCTGCAAAACGTGGCTTTAAAGGAGTTAAAGCCACAAAGTATTGTATTGCTAGAAAGGCTGGGAAGCGAGGAGAAGGACAGAGGCACTTCCTCAACCGGATCACTCGTGGGAGGAGGGTGGCGTGCAGAGAGGCTCTCTGGCTCTTCCCAGGACCGAAGCATCAGCTTGCAGGTGAGTGGAGGGCAGGTAGGAGGAGAAGCCGGGAGCAAGTCGGGCTGTTTGGTTTCCTCCACAGCGAAGAAGCAGAGAAGCAACTAGAATATGCAATAACTGTTGGAAGAGATCTTTGAGGTCATCTGCTCGAGCAGGAGACCTTATGCATTTCAGGCAAATGGCCAAAGTCCTGCAACCGTTCTTCATATGTTTTAGTCTCCAGGCCTTTGATCATCTTAGTTGCTCTTCTCTGAATTTTTTCCAAAGTCTCAGCATCTTTGTAGTATGGTGACCAAAATTGGTTGCAGTATTCCAGGTGTGGTCTTACTAGGGTTTTATAAAGTGGTACTAATACTTCATGTGATCTTGATTCTGCCTCTGTTTATACAACCCAGG